ATGACTCAATACACTAAAAACCATTGAACTACACACTTCACATGGGTGAGTGAAACAGTATGTGAATCATGTCTGGGAAACACTGATGGGAGGGCAGGGGCAGGACCACAGCTCTCCTGAGCCTGGAGCAGCACTGCTCATTGTCTCCAGGGCACAACAGTCCTGTCAACCAGCTGGGTGTAGGGGTGATCTCTCAGCAAGAAGCCAGATCTTTTAGAGGCAGAAAACTAGTGGCCATACCCAAGTCTTTCTGCATCCCGGGAGTGGGGACAGGAAAGTTGGTTCCTTACTGTGCTTAGCAGACAGGAAAGAATTGGGAGAGAGGGCCGCACAAGTCTTTCAAGGAACACTCACCCCTTGTGGGTGAAGGAACCTTAGGTACCAGGCCAGCTTTGACCTGCTTGTACTTGCCCCCTGCTTGGAGCCTCAGCTACCTGTGTTACGGACACCTAGAATCTGGCATGCTTTGACCGCTGCCCCCAGTTCCACAGATGAACTACGGCCAAGGAGAGAAGCCAGTGTCTACACCCGGGCTGTGGTGTTAACTGGACAGAGGGCAGGCAGCCAAGGAAAAGGCTGGCTTGCCTAAGGAGTCCCCATTCTGAGTCTCTGCTCAGAGTCACTCTTTGTCAATCAAAATTAAAGTTTTGTTAAAACAAGAGGTGGCTCTCCCAACCTACAAAATCAAAGTTCATCAGTGGGTCCCTGAGCAGGGCACTCTGGGAACAAGCTCCCAAGGGAAGACAGTACACAGCCAGACACAGTAAGAACAGCAACTAAACTGCTAACACTGGCAAGGGCTCATGCTTACTCTACAATGTCAATACCAAGTGGGGCGAGGCCAGCCCCAGCCTCGGCCCCACCCCCTTGAGGACTTACGGCCTTCATTGTAGAGGTAGGCTATGCCCAGCTTCACAGCAGCTTCAAAATTCCCTTTTTCGGCAGCCCTGAAACATTAAGAACATAAATCATCACATGATTTTATTCCATAAAGGTTATGTTCCACCACCACACTTCAAACTACAATACCCATTTTCTGAACTGAAAATTTTTTTCATAATGCAGCCAAATATCCGTTAATGATGACATACTACAACATGGATGAGCCTTGAAAACATGCTTAAGTGAAATAAGTCAGTCACAAAAGGCCATACATTGCATGACTCCACTCACAAGAAATGTCCAGAGTAGGCAAATGTGCAGAGACAGAAAGCAGATTAGGGACTGCCCGGTGTTTGGGGGATTACAGGGAAAATAGTAAGTGACTGCTAAAGGATAGTGGGCTTCATTTTGGGGTAATGAGTATGTTCTAAAGTTAGACAGTGTTGATGGTTACATAACTCTGTGAATGTATTAAAAACCATTGAGGTATACACTTTAAGTGGGTACACTGTATGATTAGTGGACTATGTCTTGGGCAGCCTGCCCAGGACCACTGGCACACTGGGGTTCACGGTCCCTTTGGCCCTCCATTTAGGTCCAAGCTCCAGAATGTGAGTAAAATGCAATAGGATTCAAATCATATGGTTCTGACTAAGAGGGCTGAGTAAAGTTTCCGCGTGCCGGTGACCTGCATTTGAGTCACATGGGATGGGTCACAGCCCAAGCGGACCCCAGAGAAGCACCGCTGTGACTAATGGGAGTCAGGCCTGTGTTGGTGGAGTGGAGGACTGAGGCCTGTGCTGGATGGAACTTGTGTGATCCAATCGGTGGAGCTGATAGCCCTCAGTCACTCCCTGTGGGAGAAGGCATTGGCAGGGCCAACGGCAAGAGGAAGGTCGTTCCCAGGTCAAGCCTTGAGACACAGACATACCAGGGAGGGCCCAAAGGTGGGAGAAAGCCGAGCTGTTTTCAGAGTGCAGAGATACCTTTCAAAGAGCTTCAGGTTCTTCGGAGAAGGCCACAGCTCCTGAAAGCTGGCACATGCCCACACGCTGGCATGGTTGTCCACCAGGTACTTCAGGTGGGAGTGTACCTGACAAGAGCGGAAACAGAGTGGGCTGCGGGCGATTATCAAGGGACTTCTCAGAAGCAGTGCTTAAAGACAGGGTGCAGATAGGTGTAGGGTCTCCTGTCTCCCTTCCCATCCCAGCAGTAAAGGCCTTGAGTCTCTGTGTATCAAAGTAACTAAGAGTTGCTTTGAAAAGAGAAAATTGAGTCCAGAAACAAGTTTCTCTGTGGCTCTAAAGGTGGGGACAGTGGTCCTGGAAGTGGGAATAAGCATGTAGGCTGAGAAAGTGGACACCACCTCTGTAATGCTATATACCTCTCAGGATCAGGGAATCCAACTCTAAGGGGAGCAGGTAGGTCAGAAATCTGTTTTGAGCTCCTCTACCTGGGGTCTTGCTAGTGGGAATACAGCTAGAGCCTGGAGGTCAACAAAGGCTCTCAGAAAAGACTGAAACACAGGACAGCAGCCTCAGGTAGGACCTGGAGCCTCTGCTCTGGATGAATACAAGAAATGCCCAAGCTGGGGGCCTTTGAGCACGGGTGAGCATTTTAAGGGCTAAAGTTCCCACTGCCACTGAAAATTCAGTACCCATGGATATTACGACCACAATGGAGGCAGCTTTGGAAGTCAGAGAAGTGGGTTCTAGTTGGAGTTTTCCCACTAACTTGCAGTATGTCCTTGGTTAAGTCACTCAAAGTGAGGCTACAGTTTCAACATCTGCAAAATAACTCCCAGAGTCCCCTTCAGTGCTGAATATTACATGGGATTTGTCCTCAAGTTTACACTATTATTCTTTTTAATACTACCTTATTTCTTGAGGGATGCAAATTTCACTACCATAAAAAGGTATCTTCTCTGTTAAAATAAGCATTGCAAAGAGCAGACTCAAACCTTAGTGTATTATGTTATAGCTTTCCTACAATCAGAAGAACCTCAAGCATCTATTACCAATATCACAGTTGTCTCTTCTGCCCTCATTTGTAGCCAGTTTTGTTTTGACATTTAGGACACGAAGCTCTCATGGTATAACCAACAATGCCAGGGCTGATACTATTTCGATCTGACAACTTACAGCTCGGACAGCGAGGATATCGCCAACAGAAAGCCATTTCAGGATATGAAAGAGCACATCTTCTGGGAGACTCAAGATGGTTAGGTTTCGGGGTCTCCTTCTTATTCTTCGCTTTGTAGGATAACAGAAACACTTGGCACACCTACAGTGGATTACTTCAGGGAAAAAAAATCAGAATGGTCTATGTGATGTATTGGAAAGGAGTTGTGCTGATATGAAAAGTTACATCTTAACATGATTCTACAGATACTGTCCTCTGCCCCAAAAGGAACCAGCCATATTTATAGTCCCAAACAAAGATTAAACAAAGGAGTAGTAGTGTATGAGTTACAGAAGACATCATCATTTCATCAGAAACATTTACGGTGAGTAGTATTGGGAAACCTTCTGATCCACAGCCCAGATGACAACCAGGAACGGGGAAAGAAGCAGCCAACGCTGATGACAGTCAGCCTTTCATTTCACTCTCAGGGAAGCCCCTCCACCCTTGCTGATTTCTTTAGTCCTATGTGCCCACATGACTAAAATGCATAATGTTAATAAGGATCTGTCAGCTTTGGACAGGCTGGTTTTCCAGTCCAAACTAGGAGGGACTGCCCTGCAGAGAAGCAAAGGCTGGACTTGGAGGCCAGGCCAGTTCCAGGTCTGCGGATGTCAGAGCTGCCCAGTGTCCTCTCCCCCACAGGGCATCCTTCCAACTTCAACTGCAAAAACTCCTTCCTCACTCTAAGCTGATGAGCTAGAAGCTCTCAGGCAGGAGTAGCCCATCACCTACAATTCACCTGGTTTCCTACCCGTTCCTCCCTCCTGCCCGACAGGAGGTGGCTGCTTGCCCACCTGCACGACTCCCTCCGCAGGCCTTCTTCCTGCCCACTCCCCTCGCTCCTCACCTGGGTCTTCTCATCAGCAATTAACTTGCTGCGAAAGCCAAACGGACTCACAGGGCGACCAATCTCCACATTTTACCTTCCCCTCATTCCCTTTCTCGAGGACAGCCACCGTAATAACCACTGAAACCTCAGCGGTGCTCACAGCCCACGACAGGTAGCGGGCCCCGCGCGCTCTTTTACGCGGAGCTGGGCGACGCCGGACATTTAAATCGCGCGCCAGGCGGGCGCCGCGGGGACGACCCGCATCCCTGGTCGAAAGGCCCGAGCTAGCCCTGCTCAGTCTCAAGGCCGCCCCGTTGCCGCCCGCCTCCCGCGCTCCGCGCCCCTCTACTCACCGCCTCCGCTCCCCATAGCCGTAGCCGCTATCACCACCGCCGCCGCCTCAGCCAGAGCCGCCCGCGGGCCTAGAGTGCGCCGCCCCACGCAGGCGCAAACCCGCCCGCCGCCCGCCTGA